CAGCACCCCCAGGTCCTTCTCAGGGCTGCTCTCGATCCATGTGATGATAATGTTCACTTATGCTTATACATACAGTATGTGAAAGTACAAGCCTTCCCAGACTTTAATCTGCTATGAAATTCAAAATGAAAGTATAAAAATAACTCTTACCTGCTTCATTATCTTTTTGTGAGTTTTTTGTGTTTTTTTTTTCCCTTCTGCTAATATTTTTGGAGTACCTGCAATGCATCTTGATGCCTGTGGCTTAGCTTCATACTTTCAGGTTACCTTCTTTTCTCATGCTAGCAAAGCTTCTCTCTGTTTTGCCTGTGATGGGCAGAAACTTTTTTTTTTTGTCTGGCTGCTGTACCTTCACACAAGTATTTAATGACATCTTTGGTGTTTTTTCTGTAGGGGTGAGTATCATACCAAACAGGCATTGTTCTGGAGTTAATACACTGCTCTACAAGTTAAGTATCTGGTTTATTTTTTCTTCTTCTATGCATGTTGTAAGATCTCTGTTCCCAATTCTTAAAATAGGAATGGTATGGTTTCCTGTCTTGTGTATGGCAGGTGTAAATTCGTTCATGTTCATGAGGCACCAGCATGTTACAGTGACCAACGCAGCGTGAAAAATAGTGACTAAATTGTACTGAGAAAGAAATTGAAACTAAACAGTGTAGTTTAGGTGTGTGATCAATACTTACAGCTATAATTGTACCAAATTTTACATGAAGTAGTTATAAACCGAAAAGCGTTCCTTTTGCATTCTATGTACCCATTACAAGCCTAATTCTAGTCTCAGTTGTTGAGATTGGTCAAAAATACCAAATTTATTGAATTAATCATCTGTGGTGATGTTGGCTAACAGTCTCTAAAAAGAAAACTAGAAAAATATGTATTTGGGAAGGAATTATAGAGGACAAATGAAGTTACTACATGACTAACATGCTATCTATAGCAAAGTCCTGTGCTTTATACATGAAGATACTATCTTACCAGTTTTGAAATATGGGAAGAACGTTAAGCAATTTTTAAATACCAGTATCTGTTACTTGGCTTTAAGAATATAATTTGCTTGTGAAAGAGAACGTTTTGCCCAAACACTGTGTGGGTAAATCCTACTTGACTTTGGATCTAAGGGTGAAACATTACATGAAATGTGACATCCTTTTTTATAGCTTGTGATTAAAATACTTGCTTTTGATGATACAGGGGAAAAAACACATTACATTTTTCTCCTTCTTGGTACAAGGCACATTCCGACTAATCATATACTAGACTTTCCCATGTCATTCCAATAATTATATCAATTTCATAAGGGCTTTTGATGTAGGACTGAATAATGACATTTTTGTTGGAGGTACATCGGCCTGGTTTCTGGTGATCAAAAAGCTTTTGCACATCTTTTCCAATTAACTCTTCTCTTTGTATTGCTAAATGAGTTTCAGTAACACTTTCCTATTCAGTTTCATTACCATGTAAATAGAGAGTAAATACAGGATAGTTCATCTGAGCGTGGAGAGCAGGTTATCCGTGCAGTTTATTTGTGAAATGAATGGTATTATTATTGGTTCAGAAGACACACAACTTAAAATTGAGACAACTTGTTCTAGAGGAATGAATACAAATTATGGAATCATGATGTTCCCAATTATAATTCTTGATTTGCTCTTGTGAAGGTGATGCATCATGATAGATGTAAGTACTGAGAACTCGCAGAATGATACATATCAGTGCCAGTCACAGAAAGGTCTTAAGGATCTTGGACAGGAATTTAGAGGAGTAGTCAGACAAACAAATGTCTGTGTATTACTAAACTGACTTCACCTTTAATGATTCTTGGACTATGTAGCTCTGTCCTGCAACAGAGTAGGACACGATTGTGTCAGACTGCAAAATCTGTTTGCCTGTGTTGAATTATTTCTGCTATCACTGCAGGAATTTGGACTTTGCAGGACTAGTCCATGCTATGATATTGCAGGGGGCTTTTCTGCCTTGGAAGTGTGTTTGACACTTCATCAAGGCTCAATTTTGGCATTATCGACTTTGGCTCATGCAAGGATCTCTTGAAGGCTGATCTAACATGACCAATATCAAAGTTTCACAAGTTGAATATAGGTAGAGCGTGGTCTGAATAGGTATATTGGGTGGGAAAGTCAGGGGAAGAAGAGCGTATCAACTTGAAAACAGGACTGTGCTGGAGCCTGAAACCTGAGTGAAGTACAGACATAAAAATCGACTTAGCTGAGGACAAGTCACATCTTGAGACCTTTTTTCATTTGCATGGTGGTATAGAACTTCATGATTTTCTTAGTGATGTAAGCATTTTGAGGTTAAGGTAAATGCTGTTTAAGTAAGACCCCTCAGCACCTTGCAAAACAAGGGGCATGCAGTCACCATGCTGTGTGTCAGTAAAAGCACTGTAGTGTAGATCGCCATGATCTTGATCCTAGTTAGTTTTGAACTAAAAGTAGGTACCAATAGGTGAGTCACTGAAATCAAGCTGTAAGATTTCAGATAAGTATGAAGAAGCTGGTGGTAGGCTGGTTTCTACTTATATTCTGTGTATGTGATTTGGGAGGCTAAATTCTGATTGTAGTTAATAGACATCTGGGAGGTTTCAGTTGTCCCAGCAAAGACATATAGTGTCATTTGAGCTACCCTAGGATATTCTGCCTGGCTTCCAGTTGCGGCTCCAGAAAAGCAAGGTCTCCCACTGGGTTTGCCAGCCTCATTCAGCTAAAACTGGGAGCCTGGGCATCTAGTTCACATGTGGTCAGCAAAATAAAAGGTGTTTTTAGCCCAAAATCAGTCTCACCCTAGGAGTGCAATTCATTTGCCGGAAGATATAGGTATAGGTGCGAATTACATTTTACACATCCTATAGTGTCCCAGGTGTTTCTGTGGGGCTGAGAGATGTGACTTAGGAGTTATGTGAGACTCACAGCTTTCTGAAACTGCAGTTAGAGGCTGGAATACTCTGAATTCTCTAAAACTGCGTTAGACACCTAATTTTAGGCAAATGAATTCTATCCCAGATTTCCATAGAGACTCACTGCTCTGTCACTGGCTTCTTCCAGCTTTTATTTCTGTGTGGTTTTGAACTACTTCATTAATCTATGTCCACAGAGCCTGGGGACTTTGATGCACTATTTTTTATGTTTAGCTGTTTGTTTATGGCAACAGTATAATTCCACTTGATGCACGCTCCAGGGGGCAGACGTTTAAGTGGGCTTCTTCTTGCCTGCTTTCATCTGTCTGTAGAACATGTCTTGTCTAAACTAAATAGGTTTTGTCTGTCATGGTCTCCTTGCTTCAGGGTAGAATCATGGATATGAAAATGCTGGAAGATGTCTTTCCACTGATAGGAGTAGGGATGGCTGAGAGTTGAGGGGTGAGTACTCTGTAGTTCTCGAGGTGCTCTGTGGGTGGGCAGCATACTTGCAAGTGCAGACGACAGAGATTGAATTGTGTGTTTGAGAGTGTGCATTGTGGCATCTTTACATTTGAGACAGGAAATAATGAGACGAGCCGGGTCCAACAGAGGAATAATATATGGCACCTTTATGAGGGAAAATTTGGGTGTGCGAATTTGAGTTGCAAGTGGTGGCACATTTGTTCCCAATGGTATTTTAAAAGTAATATTTAAAGAGTTGTGTGTGTGGCATTTTGGTCATGGTGTGTAATGTCTTTTGTTCTTTCATCAGTGTAATGGAGCTTCAGCGTGAAGTAAAATTAGGTCTGTGCTTAGGTCAGCTCTTATTTTCAACACGAGACTTTGAAATGGTTACTATATTTAGTTTCTCACTAGCATCAAAATCCATTGTATTAATATAGATAGATGGTAGGACTACATCGCATTTATTTGTGCTATTGATGTATTATAAATGAGAGTATGTACGTTGAAGTTTGCAACTGAGAGCTTGATTCAGATACACACACATAGGTGTGTACTCTGATTCAGAGTTTCCAAGATTGTTCTCTGTGGGTTTTGGTGACAACTCTAAAAGGACATGGGTCTAGTCTCCTCTAGAGCTGGTGTCAGATCTGCACAGACATTTTCTATAGCCCATGATGACTCAAAGGCAGCAGGTTTCTCTTTGGGGGCAGCTGAATTGAGCCTTGAGTATTGATCTTACCTTTAGTTGTCCTTCACTTCCAATTGTTTTGCTCCCAGCAGTGAGAATTAAAATTCTGCAAGAACAGTAGAACGATAGAATTCATTATTTTTTTCCTGGGTAATTAACAGTGTCTCTGTCAAAAATTATTAATAGTCTTAATAGCTTAATGTTCCTAATAATGCTGGCAACTGGAAATCGTTGTGGTTCAAAGCTTGAATGGTAAAAGTATGTGAAAATGAAACTGTGAACAGTAGCTATCGATACTTTAATGATAAAATTTGCCAACATACCCACTGCATGGAGTGGAATTATAAGGCTTTCTATATGGCTTATATTCCAGGGAGGGCTAAAAATGTGTGACATTTTGAGTAATAATCTGTCATATATATTCATCACACCTGTGGCTTTGTATGGCAAGAGTGGAGGTTCATGTCATCATAGCACATACGAACAAATACTAGCTGGTAAGTCTCAAAATGCAAATGTAAACTGGGAATAGTTATTAGGTGGGCTTTATTCTAATGAATAGATCTCATATTTTTCACTTTTTAATCAATGACCTAGGAAAAAGCATTACAATTTCTACTAATGTATAGATGACAGAAAGATGGGATGTTGATTCATAAAGCAGTCAAAGTTTTTTTGTAAGCTAGGTGCAAAGAAAAAATATGTTTTAGGTGGTGAAGGGCTCTGGAGATATGGTAGTTTAGATGAGCATACGCTCCCAGTGTAATGCTATGGCCACATAAGCAGAAATGGTGTATTAAATTGTCTCTGGTTTTACTGCTGGCAAGACTACCACTGGCATATTATGTCCAATTCTGCTTCTGCAGTTTAAGACAGATGATGACAAATTGGAAGAGAATCAGAGGAGAGCAGTGAGAATGGTTTGAAGCTATGCCTGAAGATAACGTGAGGCTCCAGGAACTTAATCTATTTAGCTTTCAAAGGGAACATCAAGAGACTGCTTAAACTGACTCTGTAAGATCATGAGAAATAAATTTGGTAGAAAAGATCTCCTCACGGTAACAGATAAAATTATACCAAGACAAGTAGTTGAAATCTGATGCTAGAAGTACACAGCAAATTTTAATAAAACAAATTAAATTGAATTATTGGAATAATTTTTCAGGAGCTGTGGTAAATTGTTTTTCACCAGACTTCTTAAAATCCAGATTGGTAGTTTGTCCTGTACTGTGCGTTCTGGTTCAAAGAGGAATAAGTTCAAGAGTGTTTCTTTGTCTTGTATTGTTTGAGAGATCTGGGCAGTTCTTAAGAACTTCCTTCTTTATATATATATGTGAATCTACAGATAAAGTGATTCTGCTATAACAAAAACATACTTTGAAACGTGTTTAGTTAAATACATTTTCATTTTTGTAAATACTGGAAGTATGTCTGAACTCAATAATAAAAGTTAATAAAGGTGCCCTAGCTAACTACCAAAAGTGTGTTCAGTGCCTGGAATAGTATTCAATTGAAAACTGAGCTGCTGTTTTCCATGAGCAACTAGTAATTCCTAGTTGATATATAATATTAATATTAATATAATAGGAGTTGTAAACTGCTGCTGAATGAGTAAGACTGAGCCCTCAAATGCTTTTTTTATGTGGTTACTACATGACACTGGACATAAGTACTTGAGACTAAGTATGTTACTTAAAATCGTATTTCAGGTGCATTAATTACAATCTTTCTTTTCAACAGGCCCATGCTAAAGTCTGGCATCTCTACAATGACCATTTTCGTCCAACTCAAAGAGGAAAAGTGTCCATTGCCCTTAGCTCCCACTGGATAAAACCACGACATATGACTGAAAAAAACATAAAAGAATGTCAAAAATCCCTTGATTTTGTGCTCGGGTGGTTTGCTAAGCCCATATTTATTGATGGTGACTATCCAGAGAGCATGAGGAGCAACCTCTCATCTCTGTTGCCTGAATTCAGTGAAGTTGAGCAGAAATATATCAAGGGAACAGCAGACTTTTTTGCTCTTTCTTTTGGAGCTACCCTGAGCTTCCAGCTCTTGGACTCCCACATGAAATTCCAGCAGTTGGAATCAATAAGCCTGAGGCAGCTCCTGTACTGGATAAGCAGTGAATATAACAACCCCCAGATATTCATTGTGGAGAACAGCTGGTTTGTTTCTGGTAGCACCAAGAGAGATGATGCCAAATATATTTACTATCTTAAAAAGTTCATTATGGAAACTTTAAAAGGTAAGGCTGAGGTTGTATTAATATGTGCTTGACAAAATCATAATGCAAAATATTGTCCACAGAGACTTGTTAAAGAACCAGGCTGAAAACTAATTTTGGTCTTTAATATTCATCTTGGCACTCGTGAAATGAGACTCCAAATCACTTCCCGGGTTTGTTCTCTTGAAGACCCTGAATATTTGGTGAGCTTGATGCTGCTGTCTTTGAAGTCAGTAGGAAAATTTCTACTGTCTTTGGTGCGAGGAAGTGCAAAACGTGTCAACTATACTTGCAATGGTCTTAGGGAAATTTACTGTGTTATTTATTAATAGTTGTTTTCCATCTCTTAGATGTATGAATGCATATGTGCAAAACGTAAGGATATATATGTGGGAAGGTGGAAGGTAAATACTATGCAAGAGTAAGTTCATCTGAAGAAAATATAAGGCTGAAAGAATAAATTTTTAAATGAAAAATTGGAACCTTTTCATTCTGCATCTCAGTGTTGCTCTTGCACAAATTTTACATTAGTACAGGTCTGGACATCAGTCACAATAATCTGAATTTGCATCAGTTAAGGGAGAAATGAATGTTTGAGATTATATAGTATAAATTATTTAAATTGTTACTCTATTATTTTTCCAAACAGTAAGAGAAATACATTATCTTGTATGAGATTTATTTTCTATTTTCCCATTTCCTTGTGGCAAAACAGATTTTTTTCAATCCTAGTAGTCATCAGTACATTGTCCCATTTCCACTTTTATCATCTTTACATTTCCTAATTTACAATTTAATAATTTATCTGCTTGTCTAAAGTTTACTGTTCTGGTTTTAAAAACAGTGTTATTGTAGCTGTTTGTTCAGACAAGATAGTCATTGTGTTACATTGCCATTTTTGTACAGGGGATGGGCAAAAATGGCTTTCATTTTAGTCTCAGCACTCATGAAGATGGAGAGAAGTCCTCTGTTTGTTTCATCTGCTATTCCAGAAACCTAAGTACTGCAAATAAATTAAAAGGTGAATAAATACATGCCCCAATGCATCCAAAATGGGAAGAGTGGAATGCAAACCAGTTGCTAACTGTTGCAAGTACAGTATTTCTAGTCTGCATGAAGTCAGACGAAGAGCTCATCTTCATGAAGGGGCCATATTCCTGTTACCATATTTCTGCTTAGTTTCTAAATTACTGGACATACACACATGGATCTGCCTTTTAATCACAGCTAACTGGAAACTATTTCAATTTACAGACTTCCATTCATTTTAATGAGCTACTCAATAATAATAAACAGCAACAACAACAGTATGACAATCTTGTATTAACTTAAGAGTACTAGCACTTGGCTAAACTTTTTACAGAAAAAAAAAGCAGAAACAGACTGGATTTACAGAAGGGACTTTGGTGTCATTACAATGAAAATTACCGTATGCAAATCTTCTGTCATTAGAATTTGCAAAATCCAGTGTAAATACCAAAGTTCTCTATGCAATACCTAGGGGAATTTAGTTGAGAAAGATCCACAAAAGACATCATGTTGGTTGTGAGCAGTCTTGTTGGACAACATTAAAGACGAAGGACAAAGGCACCTGTTGTTTCTTATAGACTGAGGACATATCTATCTGGTGCAATAAAGCACTGTATTGAGGTGTTTACCATGAGATTCACTCCAGCAGTCACGGGACAGTAAAAGGGCATTGGAGCTATAGCACTGAGAAGCAAGGATAATTAGTTTAGACCCAGGGCCCCATAAATGTGGTTTTGCTGCTTTCTAGATCTGGCCAGTATTTTTGCACTGGTTCAAACAAAACTGCTTCTTTCTATATCTATGTTAACAGGTAAGCGCAGCCCTGTTGGAGCAAGTCTGTAAAGTAAGAAGAATTGGTGTTGAGGGCCTGGTGTCCACATTGTGTGCATTCCTGAAGCCCATTTCTGGATTAATTTCACCCGAAAGGAACTTAGGTCATGCATCCTGAGACAGCTCTGTCATGTGAACCGAGGTGTGATAAGGAGGGAGATTTGCTCAAAAGTGTGCTCCTAATGTCAGCTGAAGTGCTGACGTAGATGTCCATTCTGACACTGCATGCTGTAGACGAGCTCCATACATCTTTTTTGGGTTTTTTTTTGGCCCTAGGAAGGGGTGTCTTTATGTGGGATTCACAGCCCTAAATCCTTACACTGTTTACTGCTCTTTCTCCGCCCCCCTCCCCCAATACCATTTAGGGTTGAATAGAGTAAATAGAGCTGTGATATAAAGTAGTTAAATATTAATTAGACCTGCTAATTGCTATCTTCTCACACGGGTGGATATCTAACCACTTACTCTGGGGTCATATTCACTTCCCTGCTCTGTCTCTGGTGCAACAAATAAATTGATTGTTCCTTGTAAAGTGGACCATGTTGACCGGGAGGGCAATCAAGCTCCTCTGTGCCATGTTGACCAAGCTGAGTGATTAGGTCATTATCTGGGGAGCTAGCAGGTCTGAATTCAAAGAGTCTTAAGGAGAAAGGGAACAGTCAGGCCCCTGACAGGTCAGAACCAAGCTGTTCTTATCTATGTCCAGAGGCAAGACATAGATCCTTGGGCACCTTCCACATGGAAGCAGGGGCTGCGGCATTCTTGCTGCTCACCTTCATGCACTGGGGTTGGAGAGCAGCTGAGCAGAGGGTTTTAAGGATCTGTATTTGATGCTTATGGGTCTGCCGTGTTTCCTTGGAGCGTTTCAACACTAGTGAGCTAAACAGAGCGTGAACTGAAGTGCTGTTTAATTTTTAACCCAGTTCTGGCCTGAACAGTAGCACACTTCTGGGCATGCTGTGGGGGATTGCTGAGGTCAGGAGTTACTTCCAGTAGGTAGTATCAACAAGGCTGTTCAGTTTGAGAAGAAAGGGCAGTTTAGGTTTCAGCCAGCCTGGCTTGCTTATCAACAGACATAAAAAAGAGGGGAGCTAGACAAAGGAAAAAGAAAACAAAAGACAATAATTTTCATTGTGGTTTTCCAGTAACGTGCAGTTCATGTGGGATACTGTGTTTGAGACTTTCAAACCTTTTGGAACTTCCAAAAATTTGTCAAGTTGCTTCTTTCATAGGTGACATTTAAAAGTGAGAGCATTTTTAAAGAAGGATTTCAAGAGAATTTTTATGAGATGCTCAGGAAGTGTGGGAGTGCTGTGTGATGACTTACAGAGGGGATCAGATGCTGTTCAAAGAGAAATTCTCACTGAGACCAGTTCACATAGCGGACCTGTATTGGCTTTTACTCTGCTGGTACGGCAGATGTCATCATGGATACATGCAGAGGTTAGAAAAATACTGGCATTTGCCAAACACAAAAGAATGATGCCTTTAGGAGGAGAAATATTCCATTTCCTTAAACATTTTCTCATGACCTCTGATAGACACTGGGCCAAATTAGTTGCTTATTTAACCACAGTTCCTTTAGTTGATGCAAACAGGGTTGGAATCAGGAATCCATGTGGTCCTTCATAACTGATTGTAATGAGGTACATTAATAAAACCAGGAAATGAGGATCTTGATATTCTGGTTGCCGGAAATAACGCTTTCAGTGTTACTAGGCTGGAAAATATTATGTACAGTCCGTACCCAGTTTGGGTTGACAGAAGATGGTGAGTAATAAAGATAAACTCTGCTAACTACAGAGCCAAACTCGAGTTCAAAAGAACATTTAAGAATGTGCTTGAATGTGTTGCTGTATTAGGGTGGGTCTAATTATGTAGTTAAAGTAAGCATGCTCCTTTGTGCTTTCCTGAAGCTGAGCCTTGCCCAGGAACATTTTGCTGAACCTCAGTGTTTAATGCAACTAAAAGTGAGTATCATTGGGAATCTTAAAATAAAACCGTAATGCTGGCAATACTAACAGATGCCAGTACACCCTGATATTAACCTGCAAAGAGGGTGGTGACTTTTAGAAGTCAAAACAGTTGACCTAGAACTTACACATATTTTTAGAAACCCTTAAATATTAATGCTGGAAAATGCTATGCCATAAAAGATATGAAGAGGTAGAATTATCAAAAAATGAGGATCTTCCTGCATTATCACTTCTACTTAAAATCTGTGGTAATAAAAATTCATCAGTACAGCAGAAGTGTTGCCAGGGTTTCCTCAGTATGTATTTGTAGTGGAGGGGAAGGAGGAAAAAAAAGTATAAGGTTTGTTTGCATACAGGGTAGTGCTGCATTAATGGCACTTTAGCTGCCCCGGAGTGAGCTGCAGCGCGCGCTTAGCTGCGTGCAGTGCGGTGCAGTTACTGGCGCCGTTGCGGCAAACAGTTCAAGCGTAGCCTGTGCTGCTCTGAGGCTAAGGTTTGGCACACCTAATTAACAGCACTGCTCAAACCACTGCTGCACTGATAGTCTTTCTGAAGCTGGCTTGTTTAAAGCTGAGCCAGGTATCTCTGCTGCCTTGCATAGTGCACCCGTGCCCTGGCAGCTCCCAGAGTGTAGCTGAAGTATCTTCCCTGAGAAGGGGTTTGAGGAAGGCCCCGAGGTACTCAGAATCATAGATTCATAGAATGATTTAGGTTGGAAAAGACCTTTAAGATCATCGAGTCCAACCGTAAACCTGACACTGCCAAGTCCACCACTAAACTTATCTGACTTATTGCATTGTTCTTACACATGAATACCGCAAACACTGCTGTTATGGTGTAATCTACAGAGGAAAATGAGCACTGTGATAAGCTTGGTTTTGTTCTTTCCTCAGCCATCCGGTACGACGGAGTTAATGTGTTTGGCTACACAGTCTGGTCCCTCCTGGATGGCTTTGAATGGCACAGGGGATACAGCATTCGACGTGGATTGTTTTATGTTGATTTTCAAAGCCACGACAAGAAGTTGATGCCCAAATCTTCTGTCTTGTTCTATCAAAAGCTGATAGAAAAAAATGGTTTCCCACCTTTGCCTGAAAACCAGCCCACGGAAGGGATTTTTCCCTGTGGCTTTGCTTGGGGAATTGTTGACAACTACATTCAGGTGAGTCTGATGATAAAGGAGACAGGCTGTCCAGCCATATCAGTGCACTAGTTCATATTGATAAATTTGCTGGATAGGATGTCTTTCCCAATATATATTACCACAGTGCTGCAAGGAGATGGGTACAAGGCTTTTGTGCCAAACACTGTGTCTTTCACTCTTCGCTAGACTTTCTGCGTGTGACCAAGGACATTCAGTCAGATTGAGATACGATAAATAGCATTTTAGAAAAACATACGGAAATTGAAAGGGGTCTGATGCTCATCTTCCCTGGACATGTTATGTGATCGGTTACTGGAATTCAGTCATTTTTGAATGGAAGTTGATTAGATCTGCTAAAGTGTATTTCCAAATGTCCTAGTCTATAAAATGGGAAATACTACTGCTTTTTCATGTCCATAATTTTAATGGCAATATATTTATCTGCTGTGATAATATATGTTTTAGAACACTTCCTGAAAGCTCTTAGAACTCCAGTGGCGTGTTTCTACATCTTTGCATATATATCCCGGTACTGTTGTTAGAGGGCTTCTGTGTAAAAAAAAAAGTAAATTATATTAGATTTAGATTAATTGGTCCTTTTGTGTAATACTGTGTCTGACAGAGGCCTTCAGTGCCCCTGGATAGCACCTAGCTAGATCATGGATCCAGTTCATAGCACTTACTCTTTATTTCAACTAAATCTGGTGCTTTGGGAGAACCTTTCAAATTTTAAGACTTCATAGCACTTGTAAAAATTGTAGCTTAGTTATGGTCTCTGTAACAGCTTGGCTCTGTAATTCTCAGATGCTGTTTTGGCTTGCAGGGCTTCTCCAACCACAGTAAAGAGGTAAATTCAATGCTGAGGCTTGATCTAAGAACAGAATTTTAATTTAGATTTTCCACAAACACAATATCTTTCTTAAGGCTAGAGTATAGGGGGCTTGTTTGTTTTTTCTCATTCCACAAGTAAGATCTGACTTTGTTCTCTTGAAAAATACTGCAGCCTCCTTACCTATTTCCAAGAAGATTCAACAGTCATTGTCCTCCTAGCTCATAGATAGATGAAGGATTGGAAATGGAATTGCTGCCTTTGGGATCGATAAGAGCTATAAAGTTGTGGAGTCAGTCAGCCTAAGACAGTTAAAAAATCCCTCCCATCCCCAAAACCTTCAAAGCGGAATATTTTCATTTCAAGAGGCCATTCAAACATTACGTGCTGTAAGGCTTAGGTACTGTGATTTGTAGATGCATCACTGTGGAAAAACTCTTTTGACAGCATTCCCACAGTATTAGCAGCAATGCGTGCTTTAGTAATCTACAAGGGACAATTCTCCAGAAAAGCAATTTCCCTCAGACATGCTGTTTTTTATTACTTTCTTCTATAAGCACAGTACTGACCTCTCCGGAGAAAATAGCAACTGATTTTCAGCAGCTTCTTTATACAGTCTGCAGACCTCAGCTACAAGTTGAACACTGGTTGTAGGCTGACACCTGCTTTTCAAACAGAGGGCAGGACAAGGAAATCTGAACTCAGGGGAACCTTGCACACACAAAAAAAAAAGAGGAAAAAACCCCAAATAAACACATCTGGGACCAGTATCTTGTGGTTTAGATCTTTCTTGTAAGAGTTATGCTAGAGTATGAATGAGGAGATTTTACACTGTGCATTATTTTAAGTAATTCACTTTTCCATTTTCCAGTCCTTATTGTGTTTGCGGTATTTGTTAATAAGTGGCAGTATAATCTTGTGGAACCCTAAGAAGCTCATCTTCTACTGTGTCCAGTCTGTCATACAGGCAGTTCGGACATCTGAAGCCCTAAAGACTTACGGGAAATGCATTTATTGTTGGAGTGACACATACTGAGTTTACCTAGAGGTCTGAAAAAAAAAATTGATTCAGGCACCAACAGCCTGCTGAAATAACTTGGAAATGAGTTCAGTATGAGTTAAATAAAACAGGGCATCTTTAGCAGGAAGGAAAAATTTTGCTTGTCAACTGGATTCGTGCTAAAAATCAAGTGCAGGACATTACTCATCTTTCATCACAGGCAGAAAAAGAACTGAACACAGAAGTGATGTTGCATTCATTATTTCTTTTACTGCGTTCAGGGAGTGGTCTTGAAACTGAAGCCCCTGGGTATTTTACAACAGAGTGTCTCTGTAGGTCCTTAGGTATAGCTTCTTAATCTTGAAAGAAAAACATTTTTAAAATTACTGTAGTATTTGCTGAAGGTCTGCTTCTCTGGAGATCTGTCACAGGCTTAGTGCCTTATCCCTGAGCAATACCTTGTTTCATACAGACTGGCGCAACCTGGAGAAGATATGAACGTGGTGACCATTAGCATAAGCTTGTTTGGAAAGTAGGATGAAAATGATATATAGATTTGATACTTCTCTGGCGTCACATATTAACAGAAGATTAATTAATTCATATGAGCCAGAGATGTTATTGGATCAGAGATGCGAGAGAGGTGCTAAATGCAATGTTTTGACTTATGATATTCTTTCACTACATTGTGCCTGGTGGTTATGATGTTCCCACCTACCTAGAACAAACAGCTTGAATCTCGTATGTTTCTTATTCTACCTAGGTAGACACGACACCCACCCAGTTTCTTGACTCTAATGTTTACATGTGGGACGTTCACCAGACGAAGAAGCTTATTAAAGTGAATGGAGTTTTCACCTCCAGACGCAAGCGCCACTGTGTTGACTTTGCTGCTATGAGACTCCAGATCTCTCTTCTGCAGGAAATGCATGTCACACACTTCCATTTTTCACTGAAATGGTCTTTAATCCTTCCTTTAGGTAACCTTTCTCTAGTCAACCACACACTTGTACATTATTATCAGTGTTTTGCTAGTGAACTTCTCAGAGCTAACATAACTCCTGTTGTTGCTTTATGGCAACCTATGGCCGAGAATCAAGAGCTTCCAGTTTCCCTTGCCAAATATGGAGCTTGGGAAAACCCAGAAACCATTCAAGCTTTTGTTGAGTATGCCAAATTCTGCTTTACAAGTCTTGGGGGCCATGTCAAATTTTGGATCACAATGAATGAACCGCCTGTGAAAAACTTGACATACACCGCAGGGCACAACCTGTTGAAAGCCCATGCGAAAGCATGGCATCTGTATGACAAAGAATTCAGGAGATCTCAGAAGGGTAAAATATCTATAGCTCTGCAAGCTGACTGGGTAGAACCAGCTTGTCCCTTTTCCAGGAATGACCAAGAAGTTGCTGACAGAATTTTAGAGTTTGACATCGGCTGGCTTGCAGAGCCCATCTTTGGGAAAGGTGACTACCCACAGGTGATGAGAGCATGGCTTCACCGAAGAAACAGCGTTGACCTGTATAATTTCCACTTGCCTTATTTCTCAGAAGATGAAAAGAAGTTAATCCAGGGCTCATTTGATTTTTTTGCCTTGAGTCACTACACTACTACCCTCGTGGGCTGGGAGAAAGAAGATGCATTAAAATATGACCACTATCTTGAAGTTCAAATGATCAATGACATCACATGGCTGCACTCCCCCAGCAGAGCTGCAGTAGTGCCCTGGGGACTGCGTAAATTGCTGAAGTGGGTTAAATCAAAGTATGGCGATGTCCCAGTTTACGTTACGGCTAATGGAATTGATGATGACCAGAATATGGTGCATGATAAGCTCAGAGTGTATTACATACAGAATTACATCAATGAAGCTTTAAAAGGTAAGGAACCATAGATGGTTTATATGTCACAAATCCCAGTATTAGTATACACTGTGTGACAGAACGTGTTTAACTTTAAAAAAAAAAATCCTATGTAGAATACTCTGTAAATGAGATGTTATTACAGCGTAACAGATAGATGGTTTTTCCTTTGATTTGCGATTGATTGGTGTTACTAAACATCAGGAAGATTGACCTTACACATATTCTGCATAAGGCAGCAGAAGAACTTTTTTCTGTGGATTCAGGAAATTTAAGTAGATGTTGTGTGAGCAGCACCACATGTGTTTAGTCAGATTTTCTTCTTATTGCACTTCTAATGTTGTTTTCCTTTGTTGCTTCTCTCTACTGATGTGCCTCAGGGCTGGGTATGAGTTCTGTTCCTCAGCTGTCTCTGTATCTTATCCAACAGTGATCTTATCCACCAGTGATCTTCATAATAATTCAGCTATCTACCTCATTATGCCATTTCCTGGACTCTTTCCTGCTATTCAGAACCCAAACCAGTCTTTTTCTCTGTCTCAAAGATTCATAAATTATAAGGCAAAAAGGCATTTTGAATCATCCTGTCATACAACACACACTGTTTCTTAAGAAAAGCACAGGACCCGAATGAGATAATTTTTACTGATGAAGAATCTTCTACATCTCACTGTGAGCTGTTGCAGTGGGTAACTATTTATTGTTTTTATATGTCAGTGTGTGTATAGGTATATATAAATCTTACTTCTAGTATTAATTTCTTTAGTCTCAGCTTAAGCCATTTTGTTTTGCATTTCCATGTATTTTACCTGTGTAAGTATTCACAGGCAGAAAACAAGCTATCTCTCATTTCTTTGATAAATAACACAGGCAAAGCTCTCTGTGTCCCTTACTATAAAACATCCTTTAGAACCTTTCAATTATTTAACTTTTTCCCATCTGCCAGCGTCCTCCTCGAAAGGCATAAACCCAGACCTGGACACACTGTTCCTACCACAGTCACACCTATATCGCAGGCGGGTATAGCGTAACCTCTTACCCTTTTACTCCTCTTTCGTGCATCCATGTGTCCCATTCACCCTTTTGGCCATGGCAGCAGCTTGGTTACACTCACTCTGTGGTTATCTACTGAGATTTCAAACTCAGTTATAGATTTCTGCCCCCCAGGCAGAACTCTGCCGAAGTATGGTCTGCTTGTTCTTTGACATCCTCACATTTGGTCATCTTCAAATGCCAGTTGCCTGCTTGTGCAAAGCTTGCTACACTAGTGAAATTATGTCCTTAATTTTTGTGTTATTTGCAAACTTTGTGAGAAATAGTTTTGCATTTTTTTTTAGGTCGCTGATATATTTAAGATCATTAAATATCTTAGTGCTTAAAGCCAATCCCCATGACCACAGTTGAAATATACCTACTTTGACACTTAACTTGCGTGCAATTACATTTCTAGACTTACTAGTTCTGTTTGAGACCAGTTGAAATCTGTTTATTATGGGCTCCCCTTGACCTTGTAACATTCTATTTTCTTGGTCCAAATGCCGTATAATACCAAGTCAGTTGCCTTGTGAAGTTCTAAGTATATTATATCCAACATCATTACTTTTATTGATCTGCTGATCTCATAAAAAAGATGTCAAGTTAGTTTGACAAGATTTATTTTTCATAAGGCTAAGCTGATTGGCATTAGTCATATGTAATTCTTATTTATCAAGCCTTACATAATATGTTCCACTCTTTTGCTCAATAGTGAAGGATGGCTGGCAGTTCCATAATTTGCTAGGTCATCCTGTCCACTCTGTTAAATATTGGCTTTAACTTCCTCCTCTGTAATTTCCAACTCTTTACCGAATTACTGAACGTCAATATTAAGTGCCCAAGAGTTCCTTCTCCAGCATTTTCAATCACTGGCTGCATGTTTCCTACATCTGTAGTTAAAAAAAACGTGTCTTGGCAATATTTGGGCTTATGGTTTCAATTTGCTTTTTCTGTATTGCTTCTCTCCTTCCTACCCCTTTAGACCGTACCAGTTCTTGGCACTTCTGTTTTCAAAGCGTGTATGGATATGGTCTTTTCTCCCACTTCCCGTTAGCCAGAACACTTGCACATCCCCCCATTTTTTACAGAACTGATCTGCTACCAGTTTCCCCCAACCACTTCCTCCTCCCCTCTTCTGTCCAGCCTGGAAATAGCTCCTGTGTTTTTCAACTTAACCATCACATGTAAGCCATGTTTTCCTATCTTTCTACCTTCTTTGTCATGGATGAATATGTCCCTGCTAACTGGCCATAATACTTGCCCTTAAGCTCACTCCCCTACTTTTGACATCGTACACTCCTCCACAGTGTTTGGTCTGTCAGTAATACCGGCTTTTTCATTCTCTTTTCTTCTTCCGCTCTGGTATTGTGCTTTCGTCCATCTTGTCCTTACATCGGGAGCAAGGTCTTAACCTTGGCATCATGACTGATTTAGGTTTCTCCAAGAAACTTTCTGCGAGACCCTGTGCAGTAACTGAGATGAATTACAAATGTTGTGTCCTTACCTTAGTGTCACGCCGGAGAGGAGTGAGAGGGGATTTGGTACATGTGTGCTCTCATCTTAAAGTTCCTATTCTGCCTTCTTCCTCCCGCTGGTTTCAGGGACTGCATGTGGCAGTGTTTGTGTGTGTAATGTTGCTCACCTGCATTCTTCCAGGGGATACAACAGGTTTGTGCAGATAAATGGTTTTAGAACACAGTACAGGACCCTTTGGACTGAGGCTATATTTTTAAGTGCTTTGTACACTAAGTACCTCTTTGGCAATTGGAAACAAAGAACAGCAGTAACCATTTATGTAACGCCATTAAATCCACATGCAGTTTTACAAGCACAAACTAATTATCCTGGGTGGCAGCTCTGTAAAAGGGCAGGTAAATATTATTTCATTTTACACATGAGAAGTAGGTTAGAGGTGCTAAATGTCTTGCATGTGGCTGCAGAATTATTTCGAGGCAGATGAAAATTCAGCGATCATTAGCTTTCATTCCTGCGTTCATCTGCTAGAAGACGTTGCTTCAATTTGTTAAAAAATAGTGATTTTGAGAGATAAAGTATTACAGTTTGCATTTACTACTGTGGATTGATTGGTTTTGTCAGGCGGGACTGATGGCTCAAGGTTAATGCTCCAGCTGCTGGACCTTTTCCAGTAGCCAAGTTAGCAGTATATGTTGTGGACGTGTTCTCAATAAAGGCTAATACAGGTCATCTTGGATCAGAAACTCGGGTCAATACCAAGAGAGAACTATGATCTGCATAACCTTCCCACTTGCCCTGGTGATATCCCAGTACATAGCCTTAGCATGGGTGCGTCTTTTCTTGATGTGACTGTGCCTTTGCCTAGTGAGAAGTGCAGCCTGATGTCCTCCATTCCTTGGCCGTCCCCATCAGGAGGTGCTCTGCAAGGGAGAAGGAGAAATTGGAAAAACAGGCGGCAGAAATCCAGGTGCAGGAAAGCCAAAACCTGTATTCTTTGATACATAAAAAAGAGACTCATCTTTTCATGATAGGCTCCATGCTGATCATTAAATACAGCCATGCACTCGCAGTGGTGTTTACCAAGCGCAAGGAAATAAATTGCAGGATACTCTGAGATCACAGTCTGGCAACGGCTGACAGATTCTTACTTTTTATGAGGAACACTTCATAGGCGTACGTGTGCCTTACCTTATTTTGGGGAAGAGAAATGCGGGTTTAACATGCCCCTGCCCCTGCTCTATGTACTGGCATGTGGTACTGTTCTTGAATGCTAAAGTGACATTTATTCATTTCTTTAAACCTTTGTTCTCTTTCACAGCTTACAGCTTGGATAACGTTAACCTGCAAGGATATTTTGTCTATTCTTTTAATGACAAGACTGCTCCTAAATATGGTCTTTACAGTTATGTTGCAAATCAATACGAACCAAAGCCTTCTATGAAACATTACAGAGAAATAATTGACAATAACGGTTTTCCTGGTCCTGAAACTCCTGAGTTGCTGTGCCGAGAAGAGATTGCCTCATGTTCTGAATGCCACTTCTTCCGAACCAGAAAATCATTATTAGCCTTTATCTCTTTCATATTTGTTGCTTTTATTGTTACTATATTCTTCATTACTTACTACTCCAAGAGGGTAGAAAGAAGGTATAAATAGAGCTGCCCCTTTGAATACATCACTCACTGGCCTTTCTCTTGCATCTCCTTGGGAAATCTGAAATAAGAGCACACAATATTGTGATTGCTTCAGCACTAGGAAAGCATTTACATTACCTGATACTGCAGGACATTGACACTGAGAAGAGATTGCTGGCATACGGCTTCCAGAAGTCAATTCTCTGGTTTAGTACATTTGGTTTATGACCAGTCCTTAATTCCTGTGGTTGGAGTTATCTCACAATTTTCCCTGGGACCTTTTGTTGAGCAGATGCTTTCCCCTCCTTGGTTTTCCCTTGCTGAGTTGAACAGGTGAAAATATGTTCTGAAGACATGGAATGGTGGAAGACCCTGAATGTCAAATTCTCCAAGAGAAGACTGGGAACAAACAAAATGGTTTACTTTTTTGAATTAGGGTTTAATGCTGATGTTGCATGATCAGAGCCAGCATCTGACTGGAGCAGGGAACGTGACTGAGCGGAGACGGAGGAGAATTGCACAAAGCGGCACTGGGGGAAAGGACACCCCCTTTCCTAAAGCAGATGCAGGGGGAAGAATAGGGGGACGCCAGTCTGTACTGCTGGGAGCTCTTGGTAAATCAGTTAACTACTTCTCAGGATGCTGATGGTTGCATCTGACTTCAGGATGTCGTTGGGGAACTTCAGCTAAAGGAACCGTGTCTTTCTCTGTGGGAAAAGCAGCAGGGGTATGTCCAGGGCTGACAGGGGTCATATGGTCTGATGGGAAGAGGTGGGAAGGGTGAAAGGGCTTCTCTTTGATTTGCTCAGTAAAAAAGCAGGGAGAAGGAACTGGGATGTCTTTGCTGTCTCAGTTGTCAGAAAGCTGTGTGCCTGACCCTGTGCCCTGTGCCCATGGACATGGCAGGGCTGGGGCAGCCCCTTGCACACAGCTGGCACGCTGCTGCTGCCCGGATACTCACCTGCTGGAAACTTGTGGGTAATTTAGTAAGATGCTCTCCGCATGCCATTTGTGTCGAGTGTGGAGACTTTAAATCCCAACATTTTGATGTAATAATCCAGCACTTTATTGCTGCTTTTGCCAGGGTCTGAGATGTTGGAGCTGTTGGTCCAAGCCTTTTCCAGGTTGGCTGGGCGGTCTCCTTTGAGCAACTGGCTCTGGCTCTGGCAGCGTTTCATCCCAAAGTATTACTGAACGTCTGCAGGCCTCTCATATTTCTCTCAGCAAGATAAATTAGCAAAATATTAGCAACATTGTTTATTAGTAGCAATAGAGAGAGAATGGAAAAAACCTCTTTTGCCTGCCTTGTGAATCATTACATTAGGAGTGTCCTCAGCATAAAGCAGTGAGGTCATTTTTCTCTGCTCTCTAACTCTAGGCCTGCATCGCCTTCAGCTGTAATTGTATTTTTATTGCTGTGTGAATAATGTCACTCACTGGAAAGAATATTTTAAAGGAAATGTGCTTTGTGTTAATTAAGAATTATTTATCTACTAAAGCTGATTATACTGTGTTAAATGTGATGTTTATCTACTAGATGACTAGTAGGTGACTAAATGACCTCCCAGGGTTCCTTTCAACCTGAATACTCTGTGATTTTGTGATTCTACACTGTAAATTAAAACTTACATATGAAATATGTTTTTCATTTGTAATTTAAGATTATATTTTTTCTTAAATAATTTACAGAAATAGAAAAGAATTAGTATCTTATCATAACGATTAATATATTTGTCCTCTAGTTCCACTCTTAAAATGGTCTCTCTTTGCACTAATGTATATATTGCTATTGAGATTAAGGTGAAAAATTCAGGGTAAGTGATGAAGTATTAAAAAAAAATAAATATATTTATAGCCTGGTGGGACTTGCTGAAGAAAAGCAAATTTTAAACCGCTGTATATTTATGCATTGGTGTCTGGCACAGTGTGGATTACAAAGAAATAGCGCTCTCTAAATGTGTAAGATGCCAAATGGCTTTCTCCATGGCATGGCAATGAATCACCTTGCAATACATTACTCCGGTAGTCAGATGCCTTTGCAGTACATAACAAAAAGTGACACTCATTTAATACAAACTGTGGCCAGGTCATGCCTCACTTGTGTCTTATGTGGGTGCGTGTATGTATGTTATAATTATTTTGGTGGTAAAACAAAAAAAAATCTGGAGCTGATCTTTCTGAGAAGCGGAGCGTACGTGCATGCCTCCCCTGGGTTTGAGGGGGCCCAGGGGGCCTGGGCAGGGCAAGTCCAGAAGAGCTGGTGTGCTGTGGCTGGTGGGCCCCGTCCTGTCCTGACACTTCACTAACCGTAAACCATCCAGTGACTTGCTGCCCTGTGCTATTTAATGGCCCAGCCACAGCACGATGTGCGAAACAGCAGTCCGAGCACGGAGGAGACACTGCCGTCTCTTCCCGTAGAGGCTGGGTGATATGTAACCACCGACAGGCAGATGGCACCAGCTGGATATCTAATTTGTAGGTAAATTGGGATTTGTTGCTACGAAGCTGTATGATCGCATCCACTCATGGTACCGTGGCCCATAGAAATAACGCAGCCTTTGGTGCAATTCCCTTCAGAAGAGGTTTTTTTTTAATGTCACTGCAGAGCGGCAACCGGCTTGAGCTGGGCACAGCAGTTGCCAAAGTCCTCTCCTAAGCAGCCTGCCTGCAGTGCCGCCTGTGCACAGCAACGCGTAGCTCGCGGTGAATTAATCACATAATGATGGGCCAGGGAAAATACAGGCAGGTCTGATGGAGATAATGGTGTGGTTTTGCCTGGGGAATCTGCTTCATTTTATGTAATTGCGGGTCAGTGTGAGCTTCTTGTCAATCTTCTTGGAAAAAATCACCTTCCACTAACAACAAAAAAGCCCTTGAATAGGCAAAGATTAGGTACCTGTCCGAGGAGAATTGCAGTGTGCTCATGCAAACCGATGCGGTAATCGCCTCCTGCGATCAGGCTGTGGGCCGTGGGGCACCTCTTCCGTTTGATACCCACGTGTGAGCAATGATCTGGCACTTCCCCATCACCATCTGTGCATCTAGCGCAGAAATGCCGACAGTAGCAAGGACTTTGAGCAGAGGGGACTCCATACTCAGGCTGCAAAGGTGGCTCAGGGGAGAATGATGTTTTATTTTCTGAAGAGCAGCCGGAGTCTGCATGTGATGGATGTTAACATGCAGTATCTTATGTAGGCCGCTTTCTTGATTTTAACCATGTTTCTAGAATGACATGTTGTTGCCAGTTTGCTCTGTGCTCCAGATTAAGTATGTTGTAAAATACAAAATTGTATTTTTATTCAAAATATTTTTGCAACGTGAGCACAAAGCTTCTGTCTTATTTCTTGAAAAGATTGTGCAGAGTAACTGCGGGAAGGATGTCTTTGCTAACTGAAAGAATGAATGTTATATTGTTTTTATAACAATCTCAGAAATTAAATAAAGATACTGTATGTAAAAAGTTGTAACATGATCTTACTGTTTAATCTGTCCAGTCTGTCTGCAACGTGAAGTACAGAGTACCTTAGGAGAGGCTGTTACGATAACTCTGCCAGGAGTTTGTGTTGCTGTTTGTTTTCCCAGTGCCACATAAATTAGCTTTTGTTGGAGATAGCTGGGGCCCATGTCTAAACAGAGGTTTTTCTAACAGACCTACGGCTTTGGAGGAGGCTTCGTTCTTTGATTTTTTGTTGTTTGATTTTATTTTTTTTTTTAGAGTGACTATTGCCATTTAAAAACTCTGTGGAAGTAACCATACCAGTATGAGCGTTTTGTTGCAACAGCTTATTTCATAGTAACACTGCAGTGAATGTAACAGCTCTTCTCTTCCAGTAGAGTTACTCACAGGCTTGAAGGACTTTGTTGGCATAGTTGTGGCGCTAAGCAGTTTATGGCATCCTTGTTAAACGTCCTGAGGAAGGTAAATGTCAAGGTTAAAGGAAGTAGGAGCAGAAAGGGACAAGACTAAGGAATGGGACAGTGGCCATACAAGTGTCAGCATGTTTCAACACACAACCTGCCCTTCACTTTTCTCCCTGTGTTGTATTCGTTTGCTTTTTGAGTCACTTAGAAAACCTGATCTGTTCATCCTGCTTGCAAAAACCTCTTAGGTGAAAATGCCCTTATTCAGGGTGAAGAAATCTGATTTAGGTGCTAGATTTCAGCTTCAGCTGAGAAAGTTCATTTTTGTTCCTTCTTCACTCGTGCAAAGCCGAGAAGAGGAGGTGAGGAAAAGAGGGGGAAAGTTCTTCCCATCTTTGATGTGCCCTGCATGGATTGCCAAACCACTCTTTGCCAGCTGTCACAAGGCTACAGCTGGTGCTGGCTGGTTAGGCCCACCCTTTTTAAGAGACTGGAAAAAGAAGAAATAACGAGGTGAGGTGAAAGTGGCAGGGTCCAACTTATCAGAGGCTTTTATTTTGTTTTGTGAGCTGAACAGAAACACCGCTGTCAAACCGTTCTGAGAAAATTAAGATCGTTAAGAAACCAGCAAGTTGAAATAACAGCAGCCTGCAGCCAAAACACTTGTGGGTGCTGACATTTTGCTGGCTATTATTTTGTGATGCTTTGTGTGTTTGTGAAGGAGTGGCAAAAATGGCCAGCGAGGCAGAGTGAAGCCAGGGAAAATACTAAAGAAGCAGGGCAGAAAAGCCCCAGGCACAGCAGATGCACGAGTTCCTTGCCCTGGGAGCTGAGGGAACAGTCTTCTGCCGTAGGGATGGGCCATGGGACTTTGAATATTCTTTGTTAAAAAAATAGAACTTGAAAAAGGATCTAATGTATGAACTTCCTACCTGCATCATACTTGTCCCTTAATAGTTACATCTCCTACATGATGAATTTTACTGTCAAAAACCTCCTCCTTGTTGCAAGAGTTACTTGCAACACGATGTGGCGAAGCATCGTTATCCAGTCCCAGCCCTCCTGAGCTCATCCAAATGTCTGGTCCAACTCCCAGGAGGTCCATGGAGGTCTGAGGTGCAGGAGGGGTGGTCACTGTCTCTGGCACGCTGATCAAAGCAG